CCCCGTGGGCTGTGAGCTCCTGAGGCAGGTTCAAGCTTGTCCCTGGGTCCTCAGCCCCAGCCCAGAGCTTGTCACTAAGGGACACGCAGGAAATGTTCAAATGGAAGGAAATGGGGAACTGAAGGGCTCCTTCAATAGAAGGAGCCCGATGCATTACTGAGCATCAAAAATGGACTCTAAGGGCTGGGTGGGGGAGGTTGGGCTGTGGGCTGTAAGGAGATTCCAGAGTTCCTGAGTGGGCAAGGAATGGCTTTCTGCTGTCCACTGGAGGACAGGGAGCATTTTAGAGCTCTGAGGAGGCCCATGGCAGAGTAGAACAAGAGCAAGCAGTGGAGACAGGTCTGGTTTGAATCCTGCTCCACCACTCACATGCTGTGTGACACGTGGCAATTGACTTCACCTCTCTGAGCTCCAGGTCATCAGTGAAAAGGGGATGATAACAGACCTTACCTCCTGAGGTTGTCGTGAAGATTAGAAACAATGCATTGGCTCAATTAGCACAGAGTAGACAGTGATGCCGTTACTGCTGCTGCTGAAATATTCTAAGTCCCTGGATGGTGGCTGCTCCTAAGCAGGACATGGGGTGGCTATAGCCTGACCTTGACTTAGGCCCACTGGAGAAGCAGTTCTGAGGGCAGGCCCAAGGGTGAAGCAGGTGTGTAAACAGAAAATGAAGGTGCGAGCTCATCTGGGGAAGAGGTGGGCAAGCACTATCCAGGGCAGGCCAGGCGGGTTTGATATGAGGATGAGGGAGGCCCGCTGGAGGCTTGTGCGGCCATGTAGCAGGACCAGCTGGACATCCCTTTGTGTGTCTGTCTGCCACCCCCAAACTGTTTTCCCATGTGTTTGGGACCCTGCCCCCACTTCCTCCATCTCCTCACCCGAGAGGCTGCTGGCCTGGGCCTATGTGCTGAGTTGGAAAGGGAAGTTGGTGTCAATGAACCCTAGGCCTGAGTTCATCTTCTGGCTCCTGGGCGTCGACTCACAGCAAGGCGGGCAACCCAGTCTCCCCATCTTCTGCCGGGCTGGGGGCCCTGAGGGGCCTCTGCGCTCCCACATTCCACCACCCTACAGATTAGGCAGCACTTACTGGGAAAGACCCCTTGGGTCCCACACAGTATGAGGACACGGCCAGGCGCTCAGTGGAGATGTCGCCAGACACAGCAGGATCCAGAAAGAGGCTGGGGAACCAAGCCGCAGACAGGGTCCCGGGGGGGCGGCGGCCGAGAGGAAGAGGCCATGGCTGGGGGCCCTGAGGGGTGAAGAATCCTGCTCTGCTGTCCCCGGTGGGCTGGCTGCTCCCCCCAGCACTCCCCGCCGGGCCCCCGGGGGACCTCGCTCTAATAATGTATTTGATCGACTCGCCGGCCGCGTACAAGCGATTATTGTCTTGTCGGGAGTCAAACGTATCGATCCGGTGAGAAATATGAGCGGAGCAATGGGGCCCGCGTGTCAGTTACCAGCCCCGCTGGCCCTGGGGAGCCCCCTGCGTCTCCTTTAATTACCGCTCAGCCCTGAGCCCAGCCTGGCCGCCCCACACCGCTTCCCGCCCAGGCTCCCTGCACCCCCAGGGCCCCCACTGCTCCCCCGCTCCCATGCCCTACCTGTCTTGCTCTACACCGCCTGAGCTCTCTTCTCCAGCTGAGAGGCCACCATCTCCCCTGCCTTGGCCACCTCATTCCTGGCTGCTAGGCTTAACCCACCCAGCGTGCCCCAAGCTCTGCTCCCCTGTCCTCTTTCAGGCAGGGCGACATCTCACACCCATTCTCCTTCAAGATTCCCTGACTGGGGCTAAGGGGCTCAGTCTTAGTTTGCCTGAGGCCATAGTAGTGGAACCCACACGGGAGGCAAGAGGGGTGAGGTGACTTCATCCCATGGGGGAGTAAGGAAGCCTTCCTCGGCTCTCCTGCTCAGCTGCAGGCTGGGAGGGCAGCTCGGAAGAGTGGTGCTTCTTCTCCTAGCTCACTGGTGGGGAGGAACTGACACCCAGTCATGTCCAAAAGCACTCGCCACACATGGGCGATGGTGACTATGTCCAAGGTGGAGCATGGGGGTGACTTGGTGGGGTTTGGTGCCCCCCCCATAGTGTCCTTATGACCCTCATTTCCAGATCCCCCAAAACACAAATCCTAAATCAAAATGGAGTATACTGGGCAAACAAAGCTTTTTGACAGGGCTCCAGTATCCCACAGCCACCAGCCAGCTGTCTGGAAGGCCCCATGTATAGAAATCCTTCACAAGAGATAGAGACAGAGGTGGTGTTTAGAGATAGAAATAGGGATAGAGATAGAGATGGAGATGGAGATGGAGATGGAGAGAGAGGGAGAGACACAGGAGGCAGGAGGTCTGGGTTGGAGCCAGGTTGATGCTGGGTGGCATTTACAATATGGGATGTTGTGGTGTGTAGACAGCTGGGTACTGCCTCCTCTGTGTGCAGATGTAAGGACTGCTGGTCATTCCCATGGAGTGGGCCTGCCAGCCAGCTGGCCTGCCTGGGTGTGTCTGGGTGCACTGGGCCCACACAGATGAAGGGCACTCATGAAGGTCTGTGTCATATCCTGCGTGAGTGTGCATGGGTGTGAGTGTGGGCACACATGGCAGGAGGCCTGCCTGGGCACACGTGTTTAGGTGTGTCCTTGTGCCCATGTGTCCACGTGAGGCAGCTGGGGGTTGTCTGAAAAGCGAGTGGTCAGGGCAGGTTGCTGTTAGGGCCTGTGCACAGGGGAGTGTGTTCCTGTGTGTCTGCATGTGCACACGTGTGTGTGAAGTACTTCAGTGTATGTGTGTGCGGGGGGAGGGTGAGTCTGGGCGTCAATGTGCACGCGTGTGGTTTGGGGGTCCCCCAGCATGGGGCGCAGTGAGAACTGCAGGGCCTGGAGAGGGCAGGTGAGCTGTTTGGAGGAGCCATGCAGCTCGGCGGCCTCGGACCTGGCACTGGGAGCAGGAAGAGGGCAGCGGCCCGGCCGGGCCTTTGTCTGCGGCGCGGTGCGCCGAGAGTCCTGCGCCTTTGTGTGACCCTCGCAGGTGTGCGCGCGGGGTTGGGGGGGGGGGGCGGAAGAGGGGTAGGCGAGGAGGGGAGCGGAGCGGAGGAAGGAGCTCCCTTCCCCGCGGCCGGCCCCGCCCTCCCGCCCATTGGCTGGGCGCTGCCGCCCTCTGGCGGGCACGGGGGGAAGCGCTGGGCTGGGAGCGCAGCGGCGCGAAGGGCCCGCGGGCGGCCAGCGGACCCCGTGCTGCCCTCCATCGGAGCCACCTCAGGCGCTTGTATTTGCCCATGGCAGACTTCTTCCTGCTCCAGGGCCAGGCCCCAAACTTCCGCTTGCACTGACACTGCCCACAGGCGCCGCTTACGCTCAGTGGTGGCCCCGGACGCCTCACCTGCGGACAGGTGCACGGCAGGGCACCCCTCGCCCCTTGCAGAGCCGCGTAGAAACCCACCGCGGACGCTGCCTCCTGCTGTGCTCTCTGGCTCTGGGCTCGCGTGAAGGCCACCTCCCCTCCCTGGTCCTCAGTCTTTTCTTTTGTAAAATGGAGCAAATAATGATTACCTTAAGAGATGACGTTCGTCAAGGTCGAGGTGCGGGGCCTGGTACTGGGAAAGCCTCCCGCTCCTCCTAAACACTTCTAGCTAATGTTTTAGTGTCGTTGTTATGGGTCCACATTCTCTCCCGGCCCACAGGTCCTGTTCCAGATTTGCCCTGGAGGCAGCAGGGGGCTGGGGCAACTGTTGCGGGCACCTCCCGGAGGCACCTCCGTAGGAGTCAGCTCTTCCAGCCTGCTTGCGCTCTGCCTCACTACTCCCACTTCCCCAACCCGCACGATTTAGGGTCGCTGCCTGCTGGGGTGGGCCTTCCAGCCAGGGTATTTTCCCTTCCGAAGGGGGCGGACCTGTGGTTTCCTCTCAGGGTGACTTCCGGCAGAGAGGGCTTGGCCCCCAGAGAGGGCGGGGAGATGACACAGTTGTTCCCCCAGCCCTGCGGGGCGGGCAGCACGGTTCACTCCAGCATGGGGGCTCCAGGTAAGGGGCTGGCGCTGCGGCCCAGGTATAGGGGCCACTTCTCGGGGTTGGTCCTGCTGGGCGCATCGCTGGCCTGGCCTGCCCTTCCTCCTTAGCTGTCTCCTCTGTCCTTTCACTCTGTACCTCAGCAGCTTCCCCTTCCCATCCTGGGTCCCCACTCCCAGCTCGTTTTTCTCCTCTCCTTTCACATCAGACACCTGGGGGCTCCCAACCTCTTCTCCTCCTCTCTGCTGCCCTGTTCTGAAGGCTCCAGCAGAGGGATGCAACCTGGGGTGGGTAGCAGGCTCTTATATGGAGGACAGGTGGGGGAGTGACCTGAGCAGGGGCTGGAAATGGGTTGGCAGGCTGAGCGAGTTGCTGGACTTCGGGTGGGCGTGCGTCCGTGTGCCCTGCAGGAGAGGCCGTGGTGAGTCTGTGTGCGAGTCTGAGTGTGACTGTCCTGTGGCCGTGTGTGAGGGGGAGAGGGGGGACTGCTGTGTGTGGCGTTGGGGGGTAGCCTGGGCAGTGACTGATCTCACAGCTCACTTCCTCACTTCATTCACCTCCGATGTCACACCTCAGGGAGTCCTTCTCCAACCTTTCCGTCTGAACTGGCACTAACCCCACCATTCTGGTCCCCTTGCCTTGTTCGCCTTTGCTTCATGGCACTTGCCACCACCTGAAAATGCACTGGATGTCAGTGGACTGAGTGAGCACTGTGGGCCAGGCATCGCACAAGGCAGTCTGGGTTTGTTGTCGCATTTGGTGTGATGAGTCTCTCTCTGCATAGTGATAGCTGTCTCTTGGTGGTGCTGAAGGGAGAGTTAAATGAGGTAATGCGTGTTGATGTGTGACACTGCCTGGAACATGGCTAGCGTCAATACTTCGTGATTGTTTTATTTGTGGCCACATGGGTATGGCTGTGGGTATGTGTCACATTTGTGGTTTTTTGTGGGGACAAGTCCTGCTCTGGTGTGTGCCGTCCTGTGTGATCGGTGTATGTGATCCTTTACCAAGGTGTACTTGTTCAGCAGTTCTGTGTTGGGTGTTGGAAATACAGCTGAAAGACAGCTTTAGTTCAGTGTTCTTGGAGTCCAGTAAAGGGGATCTGTCACCAGAGTGGAGGAGGCACAGGTACGGGGTCAGGGCTGGGGTGCCAAGGACTGGGGACTGCGGGAGTCTAGAAGACTTGTCCAGTTCAGCCTGTGGGCTGTCAGGGAGGGCTTCCTGGAGGAGGGGATGTCCGGGTTAATATGTGAAGTGGGTGTGAGCAAGGCAAAAAGGTGAGGAGGGGCTTGAGATGGAAAGAAGACGCCTTTCAAGGTGGCATGTGATTGTTTATTGAAGGGATTGTGTGTGTGACCATGTATGTGTATGTGTGCACATTGTGGACGCGGGGGCCCAGAGCATCTACACACACATGCTGTTTGCTCCACTGTTGGCTCACCCCTGCCTGGGGCTGAGTGGGATCTCCTACGTGCCAGGCACTGGGTTAGACCCTTTACTTGGCATTTCTCACCAAATTGTCTGCCTTGGGAGGCCTGGCCAGGCCCTGCCTGCCTGGACAGGAATGAATACATTGTGTCACCTTGGGTAGATCACCCATTCTGCCTGGTCCCAGGCTGCAGGTCTGTGAACTGGGTTCAGAGCTCTGCCCTGGCCGTCTCCCGGGATGCGGGGACTCAGGGCGTGTGAGTGTGTGTGTCCAGGTGAGTGACCTGGGAGTACCTGTGGATGCACATCTGTCAGTGAGTATATCCATCTGTGAGTGACTCTGCGTGTGTGTGTGCACATCTGTGTCTGAGTGACCCGGGTGTGTGAGTGTGTGTATGTCTGTTTGAGAGTGATTCTGGGCTGTGAGTGTGTGCACATGTGTGTGTGCGCCTGAGTTACCTGAATGTGTAGGCACACATCTGTATCTATCTGTATTTCCGTCTGTGAGTGACTCTGGATGTGTGAGTATGTGCATCTCTCGGTGCGACTGGGTGTGTGAGTGTGCGCAGGTGCACACACTCACATCTGGGTGTGTTTTGTACATCTGCCTGTGTCACTGTGTGTCTGGTCCTGTGTCTTCATCTGCACACATCCCTTCTGGACCTGTGCACACCTCCCCTGTGTGTGTGAGTGCAGGTCTCTGTCTGTGTCGGGACCCTGCCTGGCTGTGGCTCTGGTGCGTGTGCTATGGCAGCTCTTGCCTGTTGTCAGCACAGCTGTGGGGCCACATCTCTTGTTGTGTCTGCCCTGTATCTCCATCCCTCCCTCCTGACAGCTCAGAAGTGTTCACTCCCTTGAGGCCGCCCGGGGACAGCTGTGGGGCTGTGGGGCTGTGGGGGTGTGAGGTGCGGTTCCTCAGGAGGCCGGGACTAGGCCAGCTGGGCCCACAGAGGTTCCCGGCAGCGCAGACCCAGCCCAGAGGGGCTCCCAGGCCTAGCTCTGATTGAAGCAGGCTGTGGAGCAGGGGACCCAGGGGACAGGCCAAGCGGGGCCAGGAGGGGTGAGGGGCAGCCCTCGGGCCCTCTATATTTAGCCCCATTTTCGGTAAGTGCTAACGAGAAGCTGACCCGAGTCTGCTAAAACCGGCTGGGGGAAATGCAGAGGAGAAGTGAAAGTCCGGGAGGGAGGGGCGAAGGAGGGGTGAGGAGGGGAGGGTGGCCAGAGTCCCTGGCCTGGGGCAATCGGCAAGCGGGTGTGAGGCCAGGGGTGTGGACAGCCCTGGGTGGGTCTGACTCTAGGATGGTGGGAACCAAGGGGCCCACAGGGTTCTGCACCACTTGTCCCTGCCTGTCCTGCTAAACAGTTCCACGCTGCCTGGGATGGGAGAAGGGCAGGTTGGCCAGAAATAGCCAATGAACCTTTCTGTCTGAATGAGGCTTTGAGAGGGGCTTCAGAAATTTCCAGGGGCCAGGACCACATTGGAGTCCTGGGGTGGGGGCCGGGGGGAGGGGCGAGCTTCTAAACATCTGACGCCGGGTCAGACCCTGTCCCAGGGAAATCGTGAAGTCACGCCTGAGCGGGAATAGTGTTCGCGTGTCTGTGGTCGAGGGAAAGCGCTGGGGTGGGGGAGCGCCGTGCCTGGGCCCAGGTGCACGCGGCCTGTGGGTGGGCGGCTCAGGGGTCTCCTGTCTCCACGAAGTCGTCATTCAGCTTTGGGTTCATGGAGGAAACGGAGTCCCCTATTCTTCCCTGGTGGGGACGGTCAGATAGAGCACTGACGGAGGAGATGGGTCAGAGGGGCTGGGTGAGGGGCCACTCTGGCCACTTTGCCGTCGGCCTGGCCTGCGGCACAGGGGTGCGTGGCTGTGCGAGTGTGCAGGGATTCAGGAGAACGGTGGAAACAGAGTGGCGGAAGTGTTCCCTCAAACCACTTCGCCTCTCAGCTACTATCCTTGCAGAGGGCTGTCACCTTGAAGGTGTCGGTTGAAGCTGCCGGTGGAGGTAGGGGGAGTGGGCTGAGGGTCAAGGAGTCAGGTGAGAGCAGGGAGGGGGGCTTGTTAGGGACAGGACAGGGTCATGGTCCCTCGGAGGTTCTTTCGTGCATTTGTCCATTTCAAAGACACAGTCCCAGCCTGTGCAGCAGTGACTCCAGCCTGGGCCCACAGTCTGGGGCTGGGGTCACTGCCTGAGTGGTCAGGGTTTGTTAGGGGGCAGGCAGGGGGTCCCAGAGGAGACACTGACCACCTGGGGAGTTGGGGAGGACCTCACAGAGGAGGTGACACATGACCCAGGGACTTAAAAAGGAGCAGGAGTTTGCTGCTGGAGAAGGACAAGTTGGCCCCAGGTGGGAGAAGGGCAGAAGCAAAGGCCTGGAGAAGGGACATCGGGGCTTAGGGCCACCCTTTTTCATTGGACCCATGCCTCCTGTGCTGGGCAGTGCCAGGCACCCCAAGGTGTCAGACCTGCCCTTGAGGGGGTCCTAGTCTGATGGGGGAGACATACTGGGGCCCAGATGGCCTCCAGCACAATGACAAGGGGAGATGCAGGGCAGGGTGCATGGAACCCGGGAGAGACACCTGGAGGCACCGGGGCAGGCTGGCTTCACAGAGGATGGAGTCTGTGCTGGGCCCTGAAGGATGAGCAGGAGGTCGCCCGGTGGAGGGCAGCGTTCCAGGCACAGGAGCCAGCTCCCGACAAGGTCTCAGGAAACATTTGTTAAACCGCAGAGAGACAGCAGGACAGCAGCAGGGACAAGAATGAGGCAGAGTTGTAGGGAGGGAAAGTCATTGGTAACCTGTTCTTCTGAGCTATGTGATGCCAGGGACCCAGTGATGAGTCAGACCCAACTTTGCATCCTGGTCTGGTGGGAAAGGGCCAGGACACAGACAGCCAGTGAGCTCGGCGCTGGGACAGCGGGAGGGCACAACCGTGGGGGGCCGGATGTATCAGTCTGCTAGGGCTGCTGTAATAAGTAGCACAATGCGGTGGCTTAACCAACAGCAATTAATTTTCTCAAAATTCTGGAAGCTAGAAGTCCAAGGTCAAGGTGTCAACAAAGCTGGTTTCTTCTGAGGCCTCTCTCCTTGGCTTGGGATGGTCGTCTTTTCCCTGGGTCTTCACTTGTGCGTGTCTGCGTCCCAATCATCTTCTCTTCTTATAAGGACGCCAGTCATGTTGGACCAAGGCCCACCCTATTGACCTTGTTTAAGCTTAATAACCTCTTTAAAGGCCCTGACTCCAAATACAGTGGCATTCTGAGGTGCCAGGGGTTAAGGCTTCCACATGAATCCTGGGGACACAACACAGCCCATCACGGAGGCCAGGGACGAACTCTCCGGGGCGAGGGTGAGGTCCGAGACTGCCCTGGTCTGTGGCAGGAGAGGCATTCCCTGGCCAGGTGGGGAATAGAGAACCTGCAAAGCCTGGGCTCCCTGTGAAGCAGAACCTGCAAGCCGAAGGAGCTGCCCGGTGTGGTTGAAGACCATGATGCAAGAGTGGTTAGCGGTGCAGTGGAGGGTGGCAGGGGCCACACCCCAAAGGCAGGCCAAGGACCCTGGGCTTCTCTTGGGGTTGTGGGGAGCCAGGGAAGGGTTTAGGCCCGGGGAGTACTGGGCATGGGAAGGATCTTCCTGGGGCACCGTGGACACTGGCTGGAGTGGGGTGGGTGGCCAGGCACAGGGCTGGGGCAGGGGTTTTGGGGATGCTAGGAGGGTGGGGCCTGAGGGCTGCCCTAAGGTTGCCTGTTGCCTGGAGCAGGGCCAAGATTGGGCAGGACTCCTGCCTTTGACGCCCCAGTGTCTGGAGCAGGGCCTCATTGCAGCTCCCTTTCTGCCCTCCTGTGTCCCTCAAGCTCGCTGGCCACCTGGGGCCCCATTCTTGGGGCTCAGAAACAGGGCCTGAGCTCCTGTACCGTCCTGGGCTCCTGCTCCCTATCTCACCCTCACCCGCCTACACCTTCATGGGACCACATGCTGGGTATGCTTTTGTTTCTGTGAAAACAATGTATGCATAGTAAAGTGCCCGATTTTAAGTATGCAGCCTGAAGAATTTTTATGTGTGTACAAACTCAGGTAACCACCAAGCACATCAAGATGCAGAACATTCCCAGGCCTGCAGCTTCTCTCGTGCCCTGGCCCTGTCGGCAGCCCCCAGAGGCACTGGCTCACCTGGCCTTGATCGTCTGATGTCACCTTGCCTCTTTCTGAGCTTTGAGTAATGGGAGTCCTCCTGTCTGTCTGCTTTTGCATCTAGCGTCTTTCCCTCGGCATCCAGGCTGTGCAAGTCGTTGGTCTGTGATGCAGGAGTTTGCTCTTTCCCTCGCTGTGCAGTACTCCGCTGTGTGGGCACACCGCACGTGGTTGATCCATCGCCCACTGATGGGCCTTGGAGTTATTCCGGAGCCTTTGCTTGGAGGTATTTCAGAGCCTTTACTGAAGGGCTGCTGGGAACACGTGCCCCGAGGGCACTGGTGGGCAGGACGCCCGGGAGCGGACTCGGGGCGTCACGGGCAGGGGCACCTCTCAGCTTTCCTGACCTGAGATTGTGTCGATCTACACGCCACCAGCACCGTGTGACCTGGCCTTTCTATCAGGCATCTTAAGTCCTCCGAGCAGTGTTTCGTGTCAAGCAATCCTCAGTTCCAAAATTCCCGGACTTCTTTTTTTCCAGTTGCCGAGGACGCCCAGCCCTCTCTTTAGCTGGCCTTCTTGAAATGCTGGGTGCAGAACACACTGGCGAGGGACAGCCCCTTTGACAGGGTGGGATCGAGGCACGGGTGGGGACTCGCAGTGACTTGTGGGAGACACATTTGGGTCTCAGTCAGGGTCACGAGTGAGGTCGATGTGAGGCCACGTCAGGAGTCAAGCCCAGGAGAAGATCTTGGACTACCTGGGTGGGATTTGGGATCCAGGGTGAGTAGGGGGTACAGAACGGGTCAGGCAGAAGCCCAGGTTTCTGTGGGGGTCTTGGACCAGGAGGAACTGGGCTCGAGTCGATGTCGGGGTGACTGTTGGCGATGAGGTGGGTGGAAGTCGTGACTGGGGCTCATTAGCCCGGAGCAGTCCTGCTTAAACACAGGGACCCTGGACTCCCGGAGATGGGGGGGCGGGGGGCAGGGGGCCCATCAGGGTGACGCTGCTGTCTCGTGGTGTCCTCAGGGGAGTGACTCCTCAGAGCCTCAGTTTCCTTCCCTGTGAAATGGGGGTAATATGAGCACCAACTGCTAATGTGATTTTGGAGTCGTACTCAGCGCTGTGCTTGGCTCTGGGAAGCACTCATCTTCTGGTTGTCAGCGTCAGAGCGCTAAGAAGACAAAGCACTCTCCACTGCTTTGTGTCCCCTGGTGCCAGCTCGCTGCCCGCCACCTGCCCTGGGCCACCTCCTTCTATTTCCCGGGCTGCAGAACCATAGAAAGGGACTGCATTTCAGGGGTCAGGCATCTTGCTGGGACTTGGGGGTGCAGTTAGATTCAGGGCTGAAGTCCCAGGTAAGGCAGAGCCGGAAGGGGTTGCGGCTGCTAGGCACGGAACACGGGCAGGGCGGCCGGTGGGAGTGGTGGGAGTGAGATGTGGACGGGAAAGTGGTGGGCTGGGGGAGGGCCGGCGGGTGGCGGCTGCATCACACCGCCAGATCTGAAGACTCGCTCCTGCGGGGACTCGGCAGTCCCGTTGCACCCCCGGCCCGGCCCCGCTCTGAGTGGAAAACATGTCTCAGCTGAAACCCGGCGAGGCAGGACGGGCGCCTGGGCGGCGCGCCTCAGCCGGAGGCCCGTGGCTACTCTCTGCTTTGGAACCTCACCAGCCTCCTCCCAGGCAGCTGGGGCCTTCTCACGACCACCACCCACTGTCTGCCTCCTGCCCTGCCCCGGGGCCTCCCGGGGCCAAACCTCCCTGGGCACCTTCTGGAGGGTGAAAAGGGTCAGGCAGGAGCCCCAAAGCCCGAAAGCCCCTCTCTTGTCTTCCCAGAGAAGAGCAGAGGCCCAGAACCAAGGGCATGTCTCCCAGAAAGAGACACTTACAAGGAGGCAGGGGGTGAGGGGCAGCTGGGGTGCTGCTGGAGTCAGGGCCCAGAGCACTCCTGGCTTCCCCTCACTGCACTTCCATCCCTCCTGTGTCCCCAGAAATAAGAATGTCTAAGCCTCTGGAGGCCGAGAAGCAAGGTCTGGACTCCCCATCAGAGCACACAGGTGTGTGGGAAGGCAGGGGGTGGCAGGGGGCAGGTGTGGGGGGAGCTGCGGGGGCAGCTGGTGACAACTCGCCTTTTCCCTCCCATTGCAGATACGGAAAGAAATGGACCAGACACTAACCACCAGGTCAGGAGGGAGTGGATACGCAGGAGGGGTGGGGGCGGGGAAGAGGGAGTGGAGCGGGGCTCTGTGGGGGCAGCGGTGAGGTGTCAGCAGCTGCTTGGTCTCTCTTAGTCTCATCCCTACCCCAACTTCTCTTCACAGAACCCCCAGAGTAAGACCTCCCCGTTCTCCGTGTCCCCAACTGGCCCCAGCACCAAGGTAAGCACCCATCAGCACCCACCAGCCAGGGCAGGGGAGGGGGTGGGGTGTCCTGCGATGGTTTGCAGTTGCTTTTGGGAGAGGGTCCCACAGGCTTGCCACCGACCCCGAGCCTGAGGGGGCACCTAGTCCTGGCACCTTAGTGACAAGGCTCCTCCCACCCTTCTCACCCTCGGGCTCCCGCCCCAGGCCTGTGACTCACCCAAGCTCCTTCCCCTTCCCTGGGGGGTGGGGGTGGCCAGGGAAATCCCCCCCAGAGCCCCAGGGCGATGAACAACAGGAAGCTGAGGGCCCGCCCCCATCCCAACTTCCCTGACCGTAGAGGGGCCTGCCCCACCCCACCCCACCCCACCCTCTGTCCCCCAACACACACTCACGGGGGACAGGGGAGTGGGGGGGGGCAGGGGGAGGCAGACCCCGTGAGGATGGCTGCTGGACCGAGGAGATGTGTAGGAGAGGACAATGGGGAGGCCGGAAGTGGCCAAACAGAGCAAATCCCAAATCCAGGTGGGGCCCCACTGACGGGAAGTGATGGGCTTCCCGTTCTGCCCTGGGACCAGTCCTGCATCCTCCAGCCTGGTGGGCAGCCCGCACCAGGGGAGAGGCCCACCAGCAGCCCTGGGGCAGGGCAGACGGGGCAGGGGTGGGACTCCCGATCCAGACCAGAGGTGGCAGAGGGATGGGGTGAGGAGGCTGGGAACTGCTCTGTGACCACTGGAAAATCACTCCCCCTGTGCTTCTCAGTTTCCTCTCCCCTAACTTGGGGGGTGAGGGGCAGTCACATTAGATGGCCCAGAGGACCCCTCCACACCTTGTGAGCCCTGGTGCCTCTTGGTGGGCAGCTGTCTTGTCTTGAGCAAGTTGGCCAGGGCCCAGGGGAGAAGGTCCCCAGCTTGGACCTCCCTGCCTCTGACCTCAGTGCTAGCCCTGACCATAGCCCTCAGAGTGTCCGTCTGCCTCCTCCACACCACCTTCCTCAGCTGGACCTTTGCAGACTTTCCTGGCCCCACAGCAGCCCCATTTCTTCGTGGGGAAACCTGGGGGCCCTGGAAGGGAGGATGCTCATTTCCCTTCCGGGGCGGGGCCTGGTTCCCAGAGAAAGGTCAAGGCCACTGTCAGCCTCAGCCTCTCCGCCCCTCTGCCCCTCTGTCTCTCCCGAGTCAGTCTTTCCTCTACTGCGGGCTTCATGTGCTCCCAGAACGATTTCACACAAATCCACACACCACTGTGCACAATTATACAAGTAATAACTTTGTTAATTGCCCCAGTTTTTTAAGAAGCATTTTATTTTGGAGAAGATGCTAAAGTAGAAAGAAGAGCATAATGAAAATAACCCCTAGGTCCCCATCAGTCAGCTTCAACAATTACCAATTCATGAGCCGGCTTGCTCTTTCAACAGCTGAAATAAATGTGTGTGTTTTTTTTAATGGAAATTTCATGAATGGAAAACCAAAATCACTTGCCATGGAAATAAATACGACTGTTAAAATGTACCTAAAGACGCGTGCCTGCCACCGGGTTTTGCCGGAGGCCCACTCTCTGTGAACAGGGCAGTGGGCCCGCTGACAGAGCCGTTCCGAAGCAAGCAGGAGTGAAGTCGCTCTGAAGGAGGAATAGTGTCCTTGCCATGGTTGCCAATGTTGTTTATTTAAAAAAACCCCAACTTTTAATTAAAATATGACACCGACATAGATCCTCAGTGAACAGTTCTGTGGGTTTTCACAGACTGAGCAGCCGTGTCTCCAGCACCAAATCACGACAGCAGAACACAACAGCCCTCAGAAGGTCCTAGTTCCCGCCCGGCGTGAAGCCGCTGCCCCTGGCTTCTGACACTCACTGCTGCTGCGTGCTGCACCCCACACCCCTAAAACTTGCTGACATTTGTGTCCCACACTTAGGGGCACGCCGCTCGCCCTCTGTCGTCTGACCTTTTCTGGGCTCCTGTCTCCGTCCTTCACGGCCTGCATTCCAAAGGCCCCGCCCTCGCCACACTGCTGTGTCACCTTGCTCAACTGCAAAGCAAAATGATGCTGGGACACTGGTCGGCAGGATGATCCCAGATGTCCCCTCTGGGCCTCCTCCCATTCCCGTGTGTCCTTTACCAACTGACGCCCCCAGGGGAGCCCACCATTGTTGGGCTTTTTATGTAGGAGAGGAAGGGGCCCAGGGCCGCTGTGTGCTGGTCTGTCCAGTGTTTTCCATGCAAGATGCCCTTGCATCCTACGAAGAAATGAGGAAGAGCTCAGGGGGCCTCGGGGGTGCAGGCTGACGGCCAGCGGCATCGGGCCACATGGGGCCTGCGTGTGTGCTTTCATTGTCCCGCAGCGGTTCCGTTGTAGATTTTAAACTCTGTGGCTGGCGGGAGCAGTAGGAGCTGGTCAGGCCTCTCCTGTCGGCGGGCGGGTGGGCAGCCTCTTCAGCCTGCCCGTTGCCCTCTGCCCAGGTCGCCCATTCATGCAGTCTGCCGGTTGCTGCCTGCATTTGAATCTGTGGCCGGGGCTCTAAAGCAGTGTGTGTCTGTGTGTGTGCTGAATACCCTAAGGCCCTTTCTTCCAATGAAATATTACTGCATTGCGCAAATAAGAGATGTGCCTCTGGCTGAAGCAGATGAGGGCTCTGGGACCCAGACCCCCTTATTTGAGATCCCAGGGCCCTGTGGCCTCACTTCCCATTTCACACACAGGGAACCTGACGCCCGAGAGGGGAAAAGTGTCCTCCAAAGGTGGCCCTGTCCTGTAGGGAGTTCGGGTGCAGGGGGTAAGGTAGCCCACTCACCTGATGAGGAAACAGGCGAGGGGGCGCCCTGAGGCCCCAGCTGACCAGGGCAAGGTCTGGTCTCCACACCCCTGTCTGTTTCTTCTGTGCCGGCCGGAGGCTGCCGTTGCCACACAAGTGCCCTCTCTTTGGTTCGCAGGTGGGCATTCTCTCTGGCCTCCACTTAACATTCTGGGGTCCCGGACCCTGCCTCTCTCCTCCCCAGATCAAGGCTGAAGACCCCAGTGGCGACTCAGCCCCAGCAGCACCCCCGCCCCCCCAGCCGGCTCAACCACATCTGCCCCAGGCCCAGCTCATGCTGACGGGCAGCCAGCTTGCCGGGGTAAGTACTCGGGGAGGTCGGGACAGAGGCACAGGCCAGCCGCCGCCATCTATTACAGGACTGGTGGCCTGGGTGTCCGTCCAGGGCCACAGCCACTCTCTGCCGTTTGCCACGTGCCCTCTTCTGCCTCCTGGAAGACTTGCTTCCTTACCTGTTTGGCTCAGGCACTAACCCCTCTCTGCCTTCTCTGCTCCCCATACCCCCCTGCGTCCCGCTGCCTCGCCCACCCCACAGCTCACGGCACTGATGCCCGCCCAGCAGCAGCTCCTCCTGCAGCAAGCACAGGCCCAGCTCCTGGCCGCCGCCGTGCAACAGTCCAATGCCGCCGCCGCCGCTGCCGCCTCCTCCACCTCCTCCTCCTCTTCCTCCTCCTCCTCCTCTGCCTCCTCCTCAACCTCGCAGCCCCCAGCCTCCTCTGGGGGAGGCGACCTGCCACAGCCTGCCAGCCAGTCCCCGGGAACCCCACAGCTCACCCTGTCCCAGCCCATCCAGCTCACAGCACAGGTAAGGGTGGCCCGGGAGCACAGCCCCCTCAGTGGAGGGCCCACAGGGGTCACACAGCGCTGACTGGTCCTCGTGGACTGTTCCCACCACCAGCCACATGCCAGGCAGCTCCCAGAAACCCTAGGAAGCCTTGGGAGCTGCTGCCCCCACCTCTCAGAGGGGAAGAGCAAGGCTCAGAGAGGGGACATCCTCCATGGATGGAGCGCTTCCCACAGCGACCACTCTGCAGATGGCTTTCTCTCTCTCTCTCCATGGAACCCCCGGGCTAAGTGCTTTCTGTGCCCCTGGCTGAGGGACCACAGCCACCTGGGAAGTTGGGCTCATTGTCCTCGACGTGTAGCTGAGGAAGCCAGGGGTCACCGCATGAATGGTGCCCGTGTGGCTGCAAACCGAAAGGCTGAGAGTCAGAATTAGGGCCTCACGTTGCGTCCCCATCTCGGTCAGGGCACCGCTCCTTCAGAAAAGGGGGCTGCGATCTCTGAGTCAGGGAGTCCTGCATCTTTTCTCCGAATTCTGGCAACTTCTGGACATCAAATACTGAGTTAGAGGCTGTCTTAGTGTCCTGGGGCTGCCATAACAAAGCCCCACAAACTGGGCGGCTTAAAACAGCAGACACTTATCACTACAGGCCAGCGTCCGAAATCAAGGTGTGCACTCTCTGGGGGCTCTAGGGGAGAATCCCTCTTTGCTCCTATTAGCTCCTGAGGGTGCAGAAACCCTTGGTGTCTTGGAGATGGATGCTCCAACCTCTCCCTCTGCCATCTTCCCTCTGTGGGTGTCTCTCTCTGTCCAAATGTCCCCTTCTTACAGGGACACCAATCATTAGATTAGGGACCACCCCAATGACCTCCTTTTAACTTGATTACATCTGCCAAGACCCCATTTCCAAATAATGTCATATTTATAGGCACTAGAGGTTAGGACTTCCAACATATCTCTTTTGAGGACATGATTCAACCCTTGGCTGTGGCGGACAGATTTCCTACAAGGATAACAGACGGGAGCAGAGGAGGAGCTGGGCAGGCTTCTCCTTCCACTGGGTCTGCTCTTGCCAGACCCCCGCCTCCCCACACCTACACCTGTCCGAGTCACCCATGTACGTGGACCTTCCTGGTTTCTGCAAGCATTCAAACCTGTGGCCTGTGTGCCAAGGCGGTGAAGGTCCTGAGAAATCCCACAGCAAGGAATCCCGTCTAACCTCCCTTAGCCCCGTGATTCCCACAATGACCTCTCGGCAGTTGCCTCTCCCTCTCCCCCCACCCCCTTCTGTGGAAGCCCTGGCAGATGCTGCTACTCCAGGGCACAGTCCGGGGCCTGCGAGGCTGCTCCCTGGACAGAGTTCTGCCTCCCATGGGCCTTTTCACCACTGACAAGTGCCCTCCTTAGGGACTGTCCTTCACACCGAGCTGGTTGTCTGCCTCATGAGAGCTTCCTGCCTCTGGGCCTGGTTCTGCAGGAACCCACAGGGCCATCCGTGCCCATAGCTCCGTAACTTACCTTCCAGACATAGCCTCCCAGTGCCAGGCTCACCACAGTAGCCATAACAAGAGGCTGTGCAGTGCGGCCTCGGCAGCAGGCACTGTGCTAATGTGACCGCCTTGAATCCACAAACCACCACGGCCAGGGCTCTGAGGGGCAAAGTGACTTGCCTGCCCCCGGTCACACCGTGAACACGAGTGGCAGAGCAAGCAGCCTGGGAGTCCAGAGCTCTGGTCACAGGACCTGGGGCCGCTGTGTGTAGCTGTTCTTCCAGGGACATGTGTCCTGCCCCCCGCCCCCCGCCCCGGCCCGCGAGACCCCAGCTGCAGGCGTTCCGTTTGCCTTGTCGCACACGTGGCTCTTCATCGAGCAGCACGGAGGTTCTGGGCTCCGCACTGCATCTCGAATCTTGGTGTCTTTGTCCTTGTCCTTCGTTCCACCTGCAAGTCTGCTCCCTCCCTTACCCTGAACAGCTCGTCTTCATCCTTCAAGACCCAGTTGGGAGTCCACACCTCCAGGACGTCTTGATGACGTCCCTCCCCCCAGCTGGCTTGCTTTCCTGCCCCCCCCCCGGGGGCCTGAAGCCCAGCCTTCTCCTTCTGGCCACCCAGGGCTGTGTCCCACTCTGCCCGAGGAAGTCTCTGTTGAAAGAACAAAGATGACAAGAAGGAGGAAAGACAGGGCCACCTAGCTCGGGCCCAGCCTGGCCACCATCCGCTGTGAGCAGCAGACACCCCCATGTTCATGCACCCCTAGAGTGCCGTGCCCCAGGCTCCCCCCAGACCGCAGCAGCGGGCTGACCCCTGCCACCTGCCGTCCCACCAGGCCTGATCCTCAAGGTCTCCTGAGCCCCTCACTGCCAAGCCCCCTCCTCTTGCTCCTCCCGCCCCAGCTTCCCTCAGCTCATCTTGCCTGTCTGTCCTCCGCAAGTGCAAAGCTGGGCCAGGTTTGTTTTCTGGAAGTTCTGTTGCCCATGACCTCTTCCCACCACAAATGTGTATTCTGTTCTGCTGGTGTGCTGGTGCCCTGCTGGGCCCAGGCTATGGCGGGGACCACGTTTCTCCTGCCCTGGCTGCCCACTGAGGCAAGGCAGGCCCCAGCCTGCGTCTCGTGCCTGCTGATTCCGCTTTTCATGCCTGCTCAGCTCTGCCCTGCGGTCGCTGCCCGTCCTCCCGAGTGCCAGGCCCTGGAGTCAGGGATGACTCAGGCTCATCCTTGGCCCTGAGGGCGCCCAGTCTGATAGGGAAACAAATACACCGGAGAACCACTAAGAAATGTTTCCGTTGAAAAATACTAAGAAAGTCAAAAGCACCCCTAACCTGATTGCTTTGTTTTTAATTGTATTTATTGCTGCTAGAGAGGGAGGGGAAGGGGTGCAGAGAGAGTCGATGTGGTGTTCCACTCAGTTGGGCATTCATCGGTCGCTTCTTGTGTGTGCCCTGACCAGAGACCAAACCTGTGACCTCGGCGTATCGGGACAGCGCCCTAACCAACTGAGCCACATGGCCAGGGCCGCTAACCCTGTCACTTTAAAATTATAAAAAGTACAAAGGGAAAGTCCCCCTTCTGTCCCTCTAATGCCAGTTTCCAAAGTAATGTTGGTTAAACTGTTTGGCAAGAACTCTCCCTGCATTTTCCTAGCTTGTCCAGATAAAAGCATGGTTAGCATACAGTTTTATAATTTGTGTATTCAGCCCTTGGCACGAAGCTTTCCACAGAGGGGGCTGCATGGGTGTTTACTGAATCAATGAGAGATGTGTGGCTGCAGCTTTCAATCAAGAGTAGGGAAGAGGTCTCTCCAGAGGAGTCATTCAGAACGTCTGGGCTAGGGGTAGGTATTGATTGAAAATTTACATTAACTATTAAAACATCATTTTGTATTTGGAGACCGAGGAAAAAAATCTCTATTTTCGTAATATGGTCATGGCAAACAGAACTTGACAGGGAGGATCTAGCGAAGACAGGTTTCCTGGAGAAAACCAGTGGGTGTGGTGGGAAGCAAAAGGTGACCTATGTCTGAGGGAGTCAGGAAGGCTTCCAGGAAGAGGCAGTATCTGAACCAAGGTAGGGCAAATCACAGTTTACCCGGTGGGCTCTGACCAGGTAGCTCAGTTGCTTGGAGTACTGTCCCGATAGGCCAAGGCTGTGGGTTTGATCCCCTGTCAGGGCGCATACAATAGTCAACCAGTGAATGCATAAGTAAGCGGAACAACAGAAGTTGATGCTTCTCTCTTTCTCTCTTTAAAATCAATAAATATTTTTTAAAAAGAATTTACTAGGTGGGCAAGCTGGGGAAAGGGCAATGGAAACATTCTAAGGGTGGGCTCAGGGAGTTGCCAGTGGGAGCCGTGTCTGGAGACAGTGAAGGATGAGATGGGAGAGGGTGTCAGCTGGGCCACTCCAGGCAGCTGACAAGAATAGGGAGTATTTGGCTCATATCACTGAACAGGCTCAGGCTGGCGGTCAGGGACCCGTCTCCCTTTTCATCCTGAGAAAGGCAAGATGGGTGCCAGAACTTGTGAACTTGTAGCCACCCTGCCCAGGGAGATAAAACACATCCCTGTAGCCAGGTGTGGCCAGGTTTGAGTCTGTTCCCCCCACCCCAGAGAAGGTGCGGTTAGTCTCAGCTCGACTGTTTGAGAGTGGGGGAGGGCAAGTCCCCAAAAGGAAGAGATGGGTCCTATTGCTTGCAGAATGGGCGGTGGGTGCCAGGCCAGCCACACCACCCACCGGAGGGTGTGGGCTGTGTCCCAGGAGCCCGGCCGAGGCATGCTGGGCTCCACCGTTCCTGGGTTGGGATTTCCTGTGGCTCATCTATCCTGGAGTTTTAGCATGAAGTAGCATGACTGTAACCCGTATTTCACGTGCAGGCAGTTTTCCTCCTCGTTGAATGGTTCTCGGTGGTGTTCTGTCCCAGGCACTGGGACTTCCTGGGCTCCATGTGGCAGGGCCAGCCTCTGGGGGACACTAGTGCATAGAAGGCATAGAAGAGCCCACCACAGAGTCAGACCATCTCTGTTCATGCCCTCCCTGCCCACTCTTTTTCTTTAAAGATTTTATTTATTTATTTTTAGAGAGAGGGGAAGGAAAGGAGAAAGAGAGGGAGAGAAACCTCAATGTGTGGTTGTCTCTCACGCACCCCCAACTGGGGACCTGGCCTGCAACCCAGGCATGTGCCCGGAATGGGAATCGAACCGGCGACCCTTTGGTTCAGAGGCCCGTGCTCAATCCACTGAGCTGCACCAGCCAGGGCTATCCCCCTACACACACTTTTAAAACTTTTTCTAGTGGAGTGACTGTAAAAATCATAGTCACTTATTCATGCAACTAACACTTATTGAGCACCATGTGTATGCCAGGTGCCCACTCATGGCCCAGAGGGGACGGCTGTGAACAAGGGAGAGGACCTTCTGTTCTGGTGGGGAGATAGACAGTAAACAAGTAAACAAGCTGGCAAAACAAGACTGTGTTAGAGTGAGTGTAATGAGGAAAATGAAACTGGGTGGTGCTGTAGAGGAAGG